CGACGTCCCTGAAGCCGGACACCACAGAACAAATACCAAAAAAACACACGTACACTCACTCAAAACGATTCGAAAGAAAGCAACATATATATAAAAAATTATGGACACCTCCGGTAAGGTATGTGGTCCTTACCCCCACCCCATGTCACTCCTCCCCCTTCCCACCACCGGTCGGAAAAAATGCAGAAAAAATCGCCCGCCGTTGTGTTGCGAAGAGTCAGGACGCGGTCCATTCGACCCGCGTAGCTCCTCACCTGACGTCGGTTTGAGGAACCCCCTTGGCCGCGGCGGTGAGCGGAGAAACAGCTGAGACGGAGAGAGAGAGAGGCTTTGCAGTCGCCGACCAGTAGGCATGCGCGCGCTCGAGGTCCCAAACAGCTGCTGCCTCGGCAAGCTAGCGTGTCTCATTGCCTACACACACACACACACAGAGAACATCTGCTCCAGTGACCTCCGACCTGGACACTTCTCAGTTTTGAAAGCACGTGATCCTATCTGATTTCGTTCGCCATCTTGGGACAGCTGTGGGACAGGATCAGACTTGTTCGTTGCGGGCGCTGACAGACTCCTCTCGTGGTACAAACGCTATCTGCAGTTCTGTCAACATTCTCGGTTTGTTTTGGGGGTAAAACCATGGCTTCCTCGCATTACGAAACAGGCCTAGTTTCACGTAATTAATTTCGTAACGTGGCGCCAACGAGCGCTGTGGACTTTGTACCAACCGTAATGTCGTATTTCTCTGACAAAGAACACTGCAGTGACACACAAATCTTCGTGTAATTAATATCACCAACGTAAGAAGTACAGAGGATTCGTCTTTAAAGTCATCTAAAAATTTTTTGCAGACCAAATTCGACGCACGAGTGACGTGTCTCAGCCCCTGAACTCTGTCGAATATCAAGGACCGACCGCGTTCCGTGAATTTTTAAGTTCAGCGTTGTGTACAACCAAAATAATAGGACAGGTTTATGGACTATGCGGCCTAATTTAAGCGATTACCTTGATATTTTCCTGCAGAAATTGAGGGAAAACCACAAAAAAAAACTCTTTCAGGATAGTCAGTCTCCAGACTGGGAATTGTAAACGTGGACCTCCCGAATTGGCTTCATGACAGGAATGCTAACCACTCGACCGGAAGAAAACAAAATTTTAAACACTGTCATTGGGACGTTTTTGAAAGTAGCTCTCCGTACAAAACAATCGACTCAGGTACATGAAACTCCCAGACTCAGACCCAATACGAACACACTCCTCCAAGTGTTCCTGCATATCTGCGACAAACTAGTTTGTGTGTTAATATTATTTCATTTATCTTACGTGGATCCATTCGGGAAAATATCGTGTACAATTTCAGATAAATCATCAGTAATGAAATAAGTTTAATTTTCTTTATCTGGTTACATTTCGGGGTTGATTTTATAGAATACAATTTTAAAACAAATGCTCAAAATATTATCGTCAATTTAAGACGTTGATAAAAATGCACTTTTGCTTTTGAGGTCTCAAAATCAACTTAAATACGGCGAGTAAGTGATTAAAGTTTTCAAAATTTTATGTGCACTTCTACATATTTCCGACGAGACAAACAGCGAAGAGGGTGGCCCTTCATGGCTCGCGAGACCTAAAACATTCTGTTTTGAAGACGCGCCCCCCCGCTCCCAACTGATCATTAACAAATATTTAACTGAAAAAAAAGCATGGCTCTTGGCCAGAGACTAACAAACGAACGTGGCCTGTTTCTCGCCAGCTCCAAGCTGTCTGGAGCTGACACTCCACTCTGTGCACTACTGACCGACACAGCTCGACTGAAAACAATTTTCTTCCGAAATCCTGCGCCGTGCAGTCTGGAAAAAGTCTCCCGAAGTTTAAGTGGTCTTTGCTGCCTCCATCATCAGTGTATTTGCTGACTCAGGCATGGATTACCACTGAAACGTAAACTAAACTTGTATTCGGGAGTTCCCGGGCTCAAATTTCGGCCCGAGGACCGAATATCCTGAATGGGCTGTTTCGTGCTTTTCCTCAGTCCCTCCAGGCAAATGTCGGACTCTCCCCATAAATAGGACCACGACCACACCCTTTCCAGCTCCTTATCATCCTTTCATTCGATGCTATATAGTCTGAGCTAGTACAAGTTACTGAGGTTGGTATTCTTCTCTGAATGTCTTTGGGGAAAGATTTCTATTGGTTATTTATTTATTTTGGACTGTATCCATCGTCTGATGATATTATTAAAAGTAATTCAAAAACAACAACGCTTCGAAGGCTGGTGCCACAGGGAGACACCTCCGGTAAGCCAAGGTATTCCCAATAAAAAATCCAACAGAGCAGTGGTAAACAAACCTGGGGTACGCGTACCCCCGGGGGTACGCGAAGACATCTTAGGGGGTACGTGAAATTTAAAAAATATATATATTATTTTATGATAAACACTGAATAATCAGTAATGTAATTTATTTAATTTATTTTAGATGTAGATTATATACTACGTATAACTTGAATTATACACCAACAACTTTGGGGGTACAAAATTGAAGAGAAATTATATCTGGGGGTACGCGAACAAAAAAGGTTGAATACCACTGGTCTAAAGCATGCGTCTTCTCCTATAGCTGATGACGAAGGAAGCTTCATCCTTTGCAACGTTATAATATTTTAAGGAACTTTAAGAAATTTCAACAGATGACAGATGAATTCTCCCCTTCCAAAAAAAATTAGCAATAAGATGTATACTTGGGTTGTGGAGACAGCACAAAATCAATCTTAACTACAAAAGCAAATTATGATGATTGTGATGATAACAATAAATTATAAAGAAAAAATTGGAGAACAAAATAATGCATGGACAGTATCTCCGAAGTTTGGACAGACAACTTATAAGCACAGAAGACACGTTTCTGTGGCTAACAAGAGGAGATCTGAAAGCGGAAACTGAAAGTCAGTTTATAGCAGCACAAGACCAGGCACTGAACACAAAATATTATGCAGCCAAAATATTATAAAGTAAAGATACAGACAGCAAATGCAGATTATGTCAGCAATTTCACGTTGTGGCTGACAAAAGAGCGATATATACAATGACACGATCTTGTGTGTTCTCAGTTACATTTTGACACGTGCAGGAAAGTTACGATGAAGCTAGGAAAGAAACATTGGTATGAACACATCCCGAAGGCAGTTCAATTCAAATTAGGTATATAGACGCTGAATTCCGACGTTTCGATATTGTGCCTGACTTATTTCAGCAAAAGCAACGTAGTCTTCTAAATTACGAGTACAGAAGGAAAGAGAAGCTGATAAACTACAGATTGACCGAAATTTCACACAACTCGTATTAGAATATTTACTGACGGATGTAAAATGCATTTCGATTGGATTAATAAACACAAAATATCGCTGTGACTATAAAATATCCCACGCAGATCGCGTCATGTTGTAACCTGCTCACGCCAGTCCGAGGTGCAAGGATGTCTTTTTCATAAGAGCAACGAGTGTTCATTTTCGAACACTAATTAGCGTCTAAAATTGAAAAATCGTTATTAATAATAAGATACAACATACAAATTTTCTAACCGACTGCATGGGAACTCTACGCTACTCTGAAGTTATTTATGAAACAGACGGAGCATGGGACAGATAAATGCACACAAAATTTTAGTCGTGAAACCTGAGAGGATGAAATAACTTGGACAATATGCCTGTAGATGGTAAGACAATGCTTTATTTATTACTGACCAGCTAAACCATAACCAGCTTCTGAAACGGACTGTGCCGCACGTAACTAATCAATTAAGGATGCTGTGATGTATCAGATGAGAATTCTTCGTTTCGTCTTTTCCACTTCAAATATCATATGAAATCGACACAGTTTCGGCAAGAATAATAAATATTGAAGTACGTGGTTCGGCAAAATGTCTTCAGAAGTGACGGTCTGCCCCAAAAACACAATAACAATTGTAGGATCTGAGGTTTACAAGGCGGTGAGTCTGAAGATGTCTGTTGTAGCGCCATCAGTCACTGAACGTAAAAGTATAACTTCATTGTTATGTTACCTTGGAAACGTTAATTGTTTACTTAGCATTAAAATCAAATTTGGTACTGGATGTGTAAGGCCTGTAATACTGTCGCAGAATGCACGTTTTACAGGTTTAACCGCGCGACCACTGGCAATCGACGTGTATTAAGACGGAATCTTCTGATGGATGTTTTGACGTAAATACGTCTATGTTTTAGGGTCAGTGTCTTTCGGCAAAAATGTAACGAAAAAGTGTTACGAAAAAGTGTTACGAAAAAGTGTTACGAAAAAGTGTTACGAAAAAGTGTTACGAAAAAGTGTTACGAAAAAGTGTTACGAAAAAGTGTATTGCGATGCGGCAGTTGAGGAGGACTGCCTTCCTTTAGCTGCCGGACCGCGGTCTGCAGGAAGCGATCACAAAAGACAAGACACTTGCCGCTGTACCCTCCTGTAGCCAGGTAAATGAGCTGTAATGTGAGAGCAGCAAACGGGAAAAGAAGACTGTTTTCCCTTCCCCGTCTTTACCTGTAGAGCTAAGAGGTTATTGTGTTCCCATGATCCTCTGCACTTCACTCAAGATGTGCACACAAAGAGCTGTCACCAAACCAGAGTGTGTATACAGCTAATGTTCGCAGCGTTTCCAATCTGAGCTCACACTTTGCTGCCTAATCTCAAGTCATGAAATCTGAAATATAATCGATAAGCACAAATCAATATTTCTGGCACATTTTACAAAGATTGCATTTGTTTTAAAGTACACCATTCTACAACAAGGACAAAACGAATATTACAAGAGACTGTCTAATTTCTAGAGTAAGTGAGCCGTCAGATCATTAAAATTGAAGGAGTGTACCATATAAGAAAACAGCGGTACCTGATTATTACCATTAATCACCTCAGCACTTTGCTGTGATTGTTATGGGAGTAGAGATTTCATAATATTGAATTTTCGCACCTGACTTTGCCAGTAAACTGAAAGTAGACTCACACATTTACAAACTCTTTTAACTGAGGCGATTACTGTAGTGTATAATCACACGTGGCGTGTGTTAATCTTGGTTAAAAACCACTGTACATTTCACTTTCAATATAAATCTCTTCAATCTTATCATTTAAATCAATCCACTAAGTCAACGAATAAAAATTATCGTATTGTTAGTCTGTCAGATATTTCACTGTTAGCATACATGTATAATACGAGGTGCGATCGGAAAGTTTCAAGACTGTGTCAATAGAGGGCGAACCGGATGTAGTACGAGCGTCTGCCGCTAGGGGGTGCGGCCTACATTCATAGTGAATCAGTGTGCCAGCCGGCATCATCGAATTAGCATTTGTTTCTTAATTACGGGCGTTTTGGTAGTGCATTACACCGACCCTCCTGCGATTTCGGAATGGCGTGTGCATCGTACATAAATATCTAAAAAAAATATCTTTAAAAACTTTAATTTCTTTAATGTTTCTCATGTACAATGGTATCTAATTTACGTATCTGAGAAAGAACGTGATTTTCGAGATCTACCAAGTAGCCAACATATCAAGTAATCAGTTCTGATAAGCTTAATAAATAAATTTTACTCGTACATGTAACTATCTGT